AGCACTTTTGGCTGCACTTTATCCAAGACAGTTGTTTGTTCTTTTTATAGTCTATGGCAGATTCAATATTGTTTGCTAACATAATTCAAAGGCATACATTCCATGTTCTTCCTTATTCATTGTCCAAGTTTCACAAGCATATGCAACAACAGAAAATATCATGAGTTAGGCCTGGCACATTTTTTACTCTTGAAGCACCTTAAAGGGTCCCAGGCAGCAGAAATGCAGAGTGCAATAAATGGTGTTATAGTCACCATCAAGTTTTCTAAAAAACAGTATTTGCAATGTATAAATAATTGATTATACAAGAGTCTTATCAAACTAGTTCCTCCAGCTTCATTTCTATAACCAAGGCCATATTTTCTGACTGCTATTCTTCTTTGTTTTTAACTTCTGCATTTCAAAAACCAGTTGGTATTAATGCATCTTGGTTGCATTCCTTATCAACTTCAGATGCACAAGTTGGTGGAAATCTTTCCATTTCTACAGCTTTGGCTTTAGTGGTTGGTTTGTAAATTTGATTCGTAGTCATATCAGCAGGCCTTTCTAGTATGCATTTGGATGGTACCCTGCTACTGACAACACTGTACAGTTCTTGAAATGTTCTTTTCGATAATGAATGCAATACTATTCCTCTTTGTCACTCCTGACATAGTGACCACGTGATTGTCTGATTAAACATATGCATTCCATTTAATACTTGACAACTTCCAATTTTCTTAAATTAGACATTCCAATTATTAATGGATGTTTGCAGTGGTTTCTTTTCTTTTAAATAATTGATATTGTTTTACTTACAAAGTTTGTATGTATTGTTTTTCACACCACATCTTTCCCATTTCCTTTACCCTCCCCTCCTTCCACCCATCAAATTGTGCGACCCTATGATTACCCCCCTGCCCATCCTCACCCCTCTGCTTCACCTTCTCCCCCCTGGATCCTCATACTTGTCCTACAATAATGGTCTTATACAATATTTGACCTTATGAGACTGAGTTAGTTCACTTAGTATAATACTCTCCAGTTCCTCCTGAGTTAATTAGTGATCTACAAAATCATTGTTCCTGCATGCTGCACAGTATTCCATTGTGTGAATGTACTGTTAATATCTCAATCCATTTGATTGTGAATGGACATTTGGGCTGTTTCTATGTTCTTGAGATGGTGAATAATACTGCTATGAACATTTGTTTACAAGTCTCCGTTTGTGCCTCAGTTCTAATTTTCTCAGGATATATTCCAAGCAGAGAAATAGTGGGGTCATATAGAAATTCTGTGTTCAGCTTTTTGAGGAAACACTAAGTTATCTTCTAGAGTGGTTGTACCATTTTACAATCCGACCAACAGTGTATAATAGTTCCTATCTCATCACATCCTCTCCAACTTTTATTACTTGCTGTCCTGTTAAACTTGCCACTGCTACTAGAGTGATGTTTCTTCTCATTTTAAGCCATTTGCCTTCAGCAAATGAAGGGCCTTCCTTGGGTGAAAGCTTTATTCTATTCATGTCAGTAAAGTAGACACTATTTTGAAGATGCATCTCTTTCCCAGACATATTTTGAGTCTTTTCCAATCTGAGGACTTCATCTGGCATACTACACCAGAAAACGCTCCACTGCTATTCATAGGGATTACAAGGGCCCAATATTTCAGAAGCAGATGGTCAGGGCTACTTCTTAATCTGTCTTGTTCTCAAAGTTCCACTGAAATCTATCCACCATGGATGACCTTGTTGGTATTTGAAATACCAATTACATCTCTTCTGGCATCGGAGTAATAAAAAAGCCCCAGAGTACAGAAAACTGACAGATGAGTGGAGGCAATAGTCACCAGGGAAATATACATAAAAACCACAAAGAGGTGCTACTTTACAACCACTAGGATTTATATTATCTGGAAGTTAGACAATAACAAATGTTAGTGAGGATGTGGAGAAATGAGAATCATGACATACTTCTGACAGATCAGTAAAATGGTGCAGTTACTCTGAAAAAACATTTTGGCAGCTTCTAAAAAGGCAAAATATAATAAATGCACCAAATAACCCAATAATTCTACCTCTAGCTATGTACTCAGAAGAAATAAAAATATGTCTTACAAATGTTTGTATATTAATAAAAAGACTTGAACACAAGTGTTCATAGCAGCATTACTTATAATATGAAAAAGCAGAAAAGCAACTTAAATATCAATAAAATTATTAATAGATAACAAAATGTGGCATATTCAAATAATGAGATACTATTCAGCAAAAACAGGCAAACAGGTAAAGACAGAGCATGGAAGAAAGATGTAGCGGTGGTTTGCTTCTGTTAAAACTGACAGGCCGGAAACCAGTGGGGCAGGTTTACTCGGTCTTATAGAGTAGCTATGAGTTAGAGTTGATTTTAAAGCAATAGGGTTAGGTTTGTTTGGGTTTGTTTTTTTTTTACAAACAGTAAGTGGATTAATAGTTTTCAGAAGCAAAAGTAAGAATGAGAATTAAGTAAATGAATATGAGAGATCCTTCAGGAATCATGAAAATATTCTAAAATTTATTTATGATGATGATTACAACCTGGTAGATTTACTACTATTAATTGTACACCTGAAATGGGTGAATTATATGGTATGTAGAAAAATTGTAAGATGCAATGGATATATCCATAACTGAGCAGCGCTATAACGTATTGGGTTTATTTGTGTACACGTCAGTCAGTAAGTTCATCATGCAGCCCGAGTCTCTAACTTATCACATAGCTCCCCTCAGTATCTAGCACATTGTATAGGAGCTCAAGGTTTGTGGAAGTAAAGAAGAGACAGGATGGGAACAAGAGCAATTTATAAAAGCACAATGGAAGATAGGCATGCTCACTCCTTTCTCACAGGCTTTTGAGTCACCTGGAAGGAAGAATGAGAGAGCACAAACTGCTGCTCCCCATTTCATGAGACGCTTAGTGCTATGTCCGTAAGAGGAAAACAGGTAAGCATGTGAACCAAAGCACGAACGACTCCATCCTCACAGGAAAAAACAGTACCTGTATATATACACCCAGTGAAGCATTATTGAAGGGTGTTTCCCTCTCCCCACCTTGTGGGCAGTAAGAACAATCTATAAAAAACAAAAATTATACACAGAAATATTTTGCCATTAAAAGTGTTTCAAAATGATTGCTCTAAAGACTTGTTCAATAGCTAATTCAAATAATGGCAAAACAGAATGATTCAAATAATGGCAAATAGAATGATTTTAGAAAAGTGTAGATATTTACATTTTTATATTCTGAAGAATAAATTGCTGAACAGACAAATTAGCAGAGAGGAAAGAACATTGATACTGTAATCAAGACACTAATACCATAAGTTCATGATATTTTCCTAGACAAGTTCCTTTTCCTTTCTAAGCTTCAGCTTCCACTCCTCTACTTTAAAAAAGGGGGTTGGTAAGATTAGCTCTTAAATCTTTCCAACACCCATGTTGAGGAAAAATAAGGTGCTTTAGATAAGAAGAGGCATAAAATGAAGAGAGTTCAAGCTTTCCCTTATAAACAGGAAAGGAAATCTCTAGACTAGAAAAACGGAAAGCCACAGCTTATGCATGCAGTGGCCCCTTCCACATATGACTTTTTAGCTCCATACTAGGTTCCACCCTCCATTATCATGCAAGCCCACACATCCATCCCTCCCTCAGCCCCCAACCCCAAATACCTCAGCTATGGTCATTCTGAGAGCACTGACAGGGGAGAGCTCAATATCCACCAGTTGGGCAGCTGTTAACCTCTGCCCAGTAAAGATTGCACAAGGACAGAAAACATAGGACAGAGTTAGAATTTTAAGGCAAATGGGTACAATAGCTAAGAACATTTAGTATAGTGTCTAGAAACAAAGAAGATTTTTTACAGTTGCTATTTAGGTTTTAGAAAAATGAGTAGAAAATCACTGTTCTTTTGATTGTTCTTCAGAAAATGGGTAAATATAAAATGATCTCAAATTAGGCATAGTTTTAAGTTTTACACTCTTATCCACATCTTCTATTTTCAAATTTTCTATCTATTCATCACAGACTTGAAAGATGTAAAATTATATGACAATGTCATTTCGTGAATAAGCTAAAGATGACTGCTAATAAATGATATTGCTACAAAGAGGGCTGAAATATATAAAGTTCCTATATCCATTAAATGGCCACTAAAATGAATAGTTATGTAAGAATGACAGTGAAGACAGCTCTAGACAAAGGGATTTCTACTAAGCTGACATCATTAGACACTGAAGCTGTACTATAAATGTCATGGTTCTGACTTACAGTTTACAAAAAGACCTCTCATATATAATTTCACTGACCTTTTGGCCTGTCTAAATTGAGAACATATTCTGGTTTGCCAACAAATGTTTTTTCACTCATAGAAGTGACACTTTTTTAAAATAAATTTAGGCAATTAAATCATCAATTAAAAAATTCAAATAATGGCAAATATTTTTTATAGAGTATACCTATGGACAAAAATATATGATCAACTTTTCAAAAGATCATCATACTACTTTTAAAAAATTGTCTATTTGGGATTTGTGCTAGAACATTCTATCCCTCAGTATGCTTTTCAGATTTTCAGTAATGTGTCTTATGACAGAAACCAATTTAGTAGAAAGTAACTATCAAAAGAAACTGGGTATTGTTAGTCATGACTTACCCTATCACCAAGTTCATTCTGACTCATGGCAACCCTCCATCAGGTTTCTGAGGCTGTAAATCTTAATGCGACTAGAGTACCTTTTCTTTTCCTTCCTAGGAGTGACAGCAGATTTGAACCACCAATTTTTAGTAGTTCAACACCCACTATACCACTTTGGGTCCATTTTGCCATATTTTAGAAACAAAGCTATCAGTGTTTTTGCATTCTTATAGTTTTGATATAAAGTTAGTGAGATACATTCAGCTTTTATATCTATTTTAGGAATAACAGTCATTTGAGCACAAACACAGCTACATAGCAATACAATACAGATCTACATCTCCTTACAGTATCACTGTCACAAGGCTGGAACTGGAAAGGCTGGGGTTTGTGAAAGACAGCATTTTCTTGTAAAAACAGCTGAAGATTATAGTCCCGTATCACCTAAAGAGGAAAAAAAATGTTAAGACTTTTAATAAATTTTAAATGCTCAGTAATTACCTATTTTTAAGCCTTCTTTTTGTTTGTTTTAATTGGAAGTGTTCTTTTTTTTTTTGGAAGTGTTCTATAGCATTCACTAACTTTAAAAAGGCTAAATGCAGTAGCTATTTTCTCCCAACATTGTTATTGTGATTTAGGTGAAAGCTTACAAAGAAAATCGGTTTTTAATTCATTTGTAAGTTGTTAGATGACACAGTCATTGCCTATTAAATTTAAATATTCTGTGTGTGTGTGTGTTAAATAAATCATTCAACAGTATGTGTTTAAAACAAATGATAAAAGAACCTTCTTAGTTTTTGTCAAGTCAGAACCGACGCCTAGCTGACCCTCCAGCAGGTTTTCAGAGGCTGTAAATCACATGGGAGGAGCCTTCCCATCTTTCTCCTTTAGAACTATTTGTGGACTTAAATGGCCAGAGAGATGCTATACAAGGGTTAACAGCACAACATTCTACAGACTAAGCCACTGGAGCTTCCCGGTCTTTCTTCTTCATTGTCCATTTTCCAATAGCAACAACAAAATTCATGGCTTCGATCAGGGGCACCTCAGTCTGTAAACTAGGCATTAGGAATACTAAAACCATGTAAGACATGATCCCTGCCCAAAGAGTTTATAGTTTTACAGAATCCAATCTTGGAAACCATTAACTAGGGATCCGCATATAGACAGGCTTCTGGGAAGGAATATCCACATAGAGAAGGGCTTCTGGGAAGGAATTCTATTTAAGCTGATTATCAAAATTAAAATAACTCCTTCATGAAATGGGCTAAAAAAATCTGGCAGTCCAAATTCTTAATGAAATAAATGCAATTGCCCCATCCTCCTATTTCAGGAGGTGAAAAATGAATAAAGAAAAAAAGAAAAGATTTTATTAGCTCACCTCCAAATTTTAAAACCACTGCTATGAAAACAAATAAATCACAAAACCCAATAAACCTAAAACAAAACCCCAAAACTCCCACTACTATGTGAAAGACTTCAAGTTGACAGAACTTGTGTAGTGCTTAAAATGTGACTTATCCCCCCTTGATTCTCTGGAGAGTTTAGTGATGACAGTGACATTTCTAATACCAAAAGAGAATGTTAATGCCTATTATCAAGTTACCACCTCTTTTTTTCCATTATTAAAAATATTTGCTTTTGTATAATCTATTTTTTAGAACAGACATTATGATGTCCTGGATTCTAATCCATTTAGAATGTGGAGAAATATATATGAATAATTTTATCAATATTAAAAAAAAATCTCCGTGCAAAGTTCTGAAAGATAATTGATATTTTACTCTCAACTCCTATAATTAAAGAGATTATTTAGTTTAGTTTTTTAGTCTTCAAGGTATTAAGAATGGCAACAATAGAAAATATCATCTCCAAAGAAATACAGACTAACATTATTTTCTGAATTTTAAAACATGCCATTAATCAGCGGGGCTTTCATTATGCAGACAGAAAGCAAGCATGCATAAACAAACTCAAAAGGCCAGAAGAACTACCTTTAGAACAACTCTCCTAGAGGAAATATCTATGCCAATATTGGCTTCAGTTACATATACAAAGCATTTCATAAATTATTAAGGCAAAAACCCAGCTTCATCAATAATTAAAAATTAACAAAAGCTCCAAAGCCAGCTCCTTTCTTTTAGAGGATGAAAGCTGTAGAGAGTATCTTAACATTTACAGTTCATCACAGGTTACCACAAAATGTCCTCAGCAGTATGTACAGTTGTATGTTAGATATGTGAAAAAAGAGAATCAATCCCCCCCATCTCTTATGACAAAGTAATAATGGAAGTATAATAAAAACCTAGAATCTTAAATTTTCCTTTGGGTTACTATTTCCTTGGTTGCTGTTAGCAAGCAGTATAATAAGGGAAAAATAACAAGCTCTTTGTAATAGAAAAGCACATGGCATAAGACTTGTAGGTGTGAGCTCTTCTTGTAGTTGGAACAAAGGGCACATCTCCTAGATACATCATCCTTATTAAATTTTTATTCCTTCTACTTTCAATCTAGGCATAAGAGCATCTAATTTATTCCTTATCCTTGGGGAATGAAATACTCATAAGAGTGAGTATGGAGGAAAAGGGAAGCTTCTCTTTATGTGCCCAAGCTAGTTTATAAATTTTTAATCCATTTTCTATGAAAATAATAGAAGCTAAAGAGATAGTAAAAAGAAGCAACACTGCACATGCATGGCCTCATACACTCCCTAAGTTAATTTTCTTCTCTATAAAAGTATCTTAATCCAACTTCAAGCTATATGAAAAATTCTAGAAAAATTATTAAGCATGATGTGAAATTACATATTTTTACTCTCACATATTTAACTATTTTGTAAGTTGAGGGTTATATAATTATCAGTTCTACTTCAGAAATGTCCTGAAGCAGCCAGATGTAATTAATGATCTCTCTTAGTCCAAAACAAAGAACAAAGAAAATTAAAGATGCATAGGCACAATTAGTCCAAAGGACTAATGGATTAGTGTCGTTGCTATGTGCCATCAAATCGTCTGCAACTCATAGCAACCCTATGCACAACAGCTCTGAACCCTGCTCTATCCTGAGCCAATCTTATTGTCTCTGATACACCTATCTCATTACTCTAGTCACTGAATTAATCCATCTCTTCCAGGGTCTTCATCTCTTGCTGTGTCTTTTCACCATCCCAAGCATAATGTCCCTCTCCAAGGAATGGACTGTACCAGCTTCAATTTCTACTACTCTGAGAGAAGAAGAACTGGATGGTGCCGTCCTATCACTGACTATTCTAAAATGGATCACGGGAGAAGGTCCACATCAGAAGGAGACAAAATGTATTAAAAAAACTGAATGTTACAAAAATGCCCAGGCTTACTAGTCTAACAGATAATGGCAGAACCCTTGAGACTATGGCTCTCTGCTATGTTTTGAGCCTCTAACTAAACTCAAACCTGTGGCTCAACTTTTAGCCAAATATCAATTATGCCAATAAGATGAACAATAACACCAGAGAAGTACTCACTCCTTAGAACAATCAATCGCACATATTCGCCTGGGAGGAGGCATAGAAAACAAGGTGAATCTAGAGGACATTATGCTGACTGAAAGAACTCAAGTCACAAAAGGATGAATACTCTGTAAAACTATCATTATAAAAATAGGACAGTTTTGGAAAGAGGGGAAAGCAGGAAAAAAAGAATGGACAGGCAATGAACACTGTAATGGATTAGGGGAAGCGAAGATCAACTTGAAATGAATGGGTGATCGGACAACATGTGTTACAATTAATTTAGACAGGACATGCCTAATTAATAAAATGGGGTGGGGGAGGAGGAAGAAAGAATAAGGGCAGGTTTACCCAAAAATAGAAGCAACTCCGGAGGGCTGACAGGCAAGGACAGGAGGGGAAAGAGGCAGAGCAGAGATCAGCAAATGAATGAGTAAGGTGAAGGGAAAGGGAGGGTACAGTGAGGTCTTGATAGGATGTTGTAAATAATGGCAATATATAACTTTAACTGTTGTTACAAAAGGAAACATGTATGAATGACTGACAGCAATTAAAAAAAAAAGAAAATGGGCAGAAAAATGAATGGAAACAACAATCACAGGGAAGAGGTGAGAATGTTGTGTGAAGGCTAATTGTTGTTAATGATATGAAATCTGTGTCAATGACTGAATGAGAAACCAACTGCTCTGTAAACTTTCACTCAAAGCAATTAAAAAATGAAAAAAGAATTGTCTTTAAGTCCAGTTAATCTCTTTATCTCTTCAGACCTCCTTAGTCTCCTGCCTGCCTCGGTGCATTTAGGGAGCTCTGCCTGGTGTAGTCCTTAGTGAGCTGTGCTGCTAACTTAGAAGCTGTACATCTCTGTGGTTTGCATTCACCAATGGAGAAAGGTAATTCCTGTTAGGAATTACAGCATTGACAATCCAAAGGAGGATCGCTACAAGTCAGAACAATCTTGACAACAGTTGAGTTTGAGTTAAGTTGATCCTTAGTCTGTTAGTTTAGTTTGACCTTTTCTAGACTTTCCCCTACTCTCTAGGACCATTTTCCTGCAGAGTTCTCTGCTGGTAATCAATTTTAGTCAGGATAAAGATCAAACATTTGAGTGATGTAAATGAACCTTTTCTACTAACTAGTCCCAAACTACCACATCTGACCACATAGCCCCTGCATTAGCTCAGTATTTCTCAATATTCCACTACCTCCCCTAACAACTTCACCAGCAATGAGACATTTCATCTAAGTTGTAGTTAGGCACCATCAAGGTTGGTTTTGACTCACAGTGCCATTATGTACAACAGATAGAAATACTGTCTAGTCACATTTCCCTCCAGAAGTACATTGCCAAGTCCTTCTTCCTAGTCTGTCTGAGTCAGACACTTCTCCATTGTGTGTAGGTAACCCTGTTGGTGTCTGAAATATAGGTGGCAAAGCTTCCAGGAGAACAGTAACATACAGATCACTCCAATACAATAAAGTGATAGGAAAATGGAGGTCTTAAGTAAGAGTGGGTCAGTAATGCAGAGATGAAGGAAAAAGGTGATGCTATGAAGATATTTCTCAAGGAATATCCCCATCATTTAAACATTCCCCATCATCTTCTCCATACCAAAAATCAAGGCTCTTATCATATGCATTTTTAAATGATCCTCAATAGACCATTTCCCCCTTAAGTCTCAGTTTCGACACTTAACTTCTTTTCTACTATATCCACCAATCGTTCTTTACCTAGAAAACTTTAAAAGTATTTTTAAATCACTGTCCATTGATCATGTCTCCATGCCTTTTTAAATCCCTGAGTTAAAATGCATTAATCTCTAATCCATACATCTAGTAATTAGAACATAGTTCTTTGGGATAATTATTATACTGTAATTCATCTTTTCCTGAGGAAACGTACTATTATTGGATGATTAATTATTGCTAAGCTAAATACATAAATAATTGTCTTCTCTATTCTTATCAGTTAACAATCACCCTACTTGTGTTTCTGACAGATTTCACACTCAAATTCTCTACATTAACTTACTGAGGTCTAACAACTAGAAATCCATGCTAGGCAGAAGTATCTAAAAATTGAATCCTTAAGTTCTGAAAGACAGTTAAGGATTTTCCTATAGCATAACAGTATGGAAAAGTTATTCCAATGTATTTACAAGGGGCTTTCTGATATCTCCAGCTCAGAGAAACATAATTTAAAATTGCTGCAGTACTTGATTTCTGATTTATTGATTTTTAAAAAAGTAAATTATTTGCTGTATTGCATTCATATATAAGACTGTCAATTTCCAGGTCAAAACTCCATTGAACAGAAAAGAAAGAAAAAGACTTTGACATTCCCAAGATTTGTAATTTTTATGCATGAGTCGCCTGGTCAAGATGGAGGACTAAAAATGTGCTGAAACATGCCTCTTCTGATTAAAAATAAAGAAACTATAATTTTATTTTATTTTTTTAAAAAATTACTGTTAAGGGAACTCTGGTGGCATACTGGCAAGAAGCTGTGCTGCAATCCTGAAGGCAAGCAGTTCGAATCCACTGGTTGCTCTTTGGGAAAAGGGTGGGCAATCTCCTGTGCAATTAACTGCCTCTGAAAAGTTGCTGGAGGGTCAGCTCCAACTCAGTGGTATACAACAACAACAAGTGCTGTGGGTCGACTATGGGTCACAGCAATCCTCTGAGCAGACCTGAACCCTGCCCTATCCTGCATGGTCCTCATGATCACAGAGACAACTTTGTGTACCAGAGACTGAGAATAAAAGCCATGGTGGGATTTGGGAGGCTAACATCTTAGAACCTAATAGAAATAAAGACCATAAGGAACCAAGAAATTAAACAAGTGGCAAGGGAGGCAAGTGAAATTTCCCTGCCAAAATCAACTCTACAAATGTTTTGTGTTTGGTTTTTTTTTTTTTAAATCTTTAGGTAATAGCTGGAATAGCTCTACTTGGCAGCCCTGGGTCTGGGTCAGAGCCCCAGAAGTACTGCTAAATTTACTGAGGTAGAAGCAGAAATATTGACATTAGACCAAACCCAAGCACATGCTATACACAAGGTTGAAAGCATGGTGTGAAGGTGACGGACTATAAGAGCAACCACAAAATCAGTAAAACTGATAGATTTTATGTTTTGAATGAAAAGATTACTGTCAAAGAATGACTGTTTAAAGAAAGGAACCATGAATACTTATTTCAGTATCAATTATAAATTGCTGCTTTCCTTTTATCCCTTTTATTATTATTTGCACTGACATTTCATTTTGTTGTTTCCTCAAATAAGTAAGTTGAGACTATTCAAAATTCATCTGAGTGGAAGATAAATCTCTTTAAATCATTCTTTTCAAAAGCAATGCATTTGAAGGAATTAGGAAAGATCCACTGGGGATTGAAAAGACAGAGTAATTGTGGGCATAGATCAATGTTGTTGTTGTTATGTGCTGTCGAGTCACTTGTGACTCATAGCGACCCTATGTACAACAGCCCTAAACACTGCTCTGTCCTGTGCCAATCACACTGTCTCCAACACACCCATCCTGATTACCTCAGTCACTGAATCAATCCACATTACAGAGGGCCTTCCCCTCCTGTGCCGTCCTTCCACCCTCCCAAGGCATGATGTCTCTCTCCAAGGACCGGTCCCTCCTTACAACATGTCCAAAGTATGCCAGACAAAGCCTCAGAATCCTTGCCTCCAAGGAGCAGCCCAGTTTAACCCTCTCCAGGATAAATCTGTTTGTTTTCTTAGCAGTCCATGGTATATTCAATACTCTTCTCCAGCACCACAGCTCAAAGGCATCAATTCTCCTTCTATCCTTCCTAGTCATTGTCCAACTCTCTGACGCATAACAAGTGATTGCAAAGACCATGGCCTGTATGAGACGCACCTTAGTCTCCAGAGAGACACCAATGCTCTTCAGTACCTTGGAGAGGTCCCTAACAGCAGACTTTCTCATAGTAATACATCTTTTAATTTCCTGGCTGCTGGTGTCAAAAGTGTTGACTGTGGAGCCAAGCAAACTAAAGCAGTGAACAATCTCAATCTCTTCGTCATCCATCCTGATACTGCCAATTGGTCCAGTAGTGAGAACTGTCTTCTTGATACTGAGCCTCAATCCATATTGGAGACTGCAGTCCTTGACCCTCTGCAGCAAGTGTTTCAGGTTCTCCTCAGTTTCAGCAAGCAGGGTTGTGTCATCTGCATAACACAGATTGTTGATAGAACTCCCACCAATCCTGATGCCACATTCTTCCTCATAGAGCCCAGGCTCCTGGATAATATGTTCTGTATACAGGTTGAAAAGGTATGGAGACAGGACACATCCCTGGTGTATGCCCTTCCCAATTTTGAACCATGCAGTGTTTCCTTGCTCTATTCTGACGAGTGCCTCTTGGTCCAAGTATAGGTTTTGCATTAGCACAATCAAGTGTTCTGGGATTCCCATTCTTCTCAGAGTCAGCCACAGTTTGTTATGATCAATAAAGTCAATGCCTTTGTATAATCAATGAAAACCAGATAGCATTCCTCTGGTATTCCCTGCTTTCAGCTAAGATCCATCTAACATTAGTTATAATATCCCTAGTACCATGACCCCTTCTAAACCCAGCCTGGATTTACGGCAGCTCTCTGCTTATGTGCTGTTTCAGTGGGTTTTGGATAATCTTTAGTAAAATCTTGCTTGCATGTGAAATCAATGATATTGTTCTATAGTTTCCACACTCTGTTGGGTCACCCTTCTTTGGAATGGGAACAAATACAGATCTCTTCTAGTCAGCTGGCCAAGTGATTGTTCTCCAGATTTCTTGGCACAACTTGGTGAGCACACTTAGGGCAGCATCTGTTAGCTGAAATATGTCAATTGGTATACCATCTATTCCTGGGGTCTTATTTTTTGCTATTTCCTTCAAAGCAGCTTGAACATCTTCCTTCATCACCATAGGCTCTTGCTCATATGTTGTTTCATTAAATTCTTCTCTGTCTGCCAATTCCTTTTGATACAGTGACTTAGAATATCCTTTCCATTTTCTTTTAATACTTCCTGCATCATTTAATATTCTGCCTAAAGCATCCTTGATTATAGCAACTCAAGGTTTGAATTTGTCCTTCAGTTCCTTGAGCTTAAGAAATGCTGAGCGAGTTCGGCCCTTTTGATTTTCTGACTCCAGCTCCTTGCACATTTCATTGTAATATTTTACTTCGTCATCCCCCACTGCCTTTTGAAATCTTTTGTTTAGCTCTTTAGTGTCTTGAATTAAGAAAAGACCAAAATGGATGTCAAAAGAAACTGAATATTGCATGGGAGTGCAGAGAAGCCAAAGCAGAAGGAAGAACATATTAATAGTGATTCATTTTATAAAACACAATGTATGAGAATGCTCGTATGAAACATAATATGAATTTTTTTTAAAAAAAACCAACTCAAAGATTTTTTAAAAAGTTCTCTCTCTCTCTCTCTGTCTGCCTGTCCTCTCTCTGTCTCTGTGTGTGTGTAAAGCAATGTGCTATTGCCCTGAGCTGGCCAGAGCTATGGCAGCCTCTCTGTTTTCCCATTTGATACCACCTTCACCAACTCGACAAGGACAAAAAACACTTTGTAACTTTGCTAAAAAGAACATTGTTTCCAGGAAATGTGTCCTTTAAAGCATCCTTCCAACATCACTGACACCTTTATTTAGTTTATATGGAAACATTTTAGATTCTGAAATGTGTAACTTTATCATTGAAAGTAACTTAGGTCTTACCTTGCTAGAAGTTTCTAATAAAAACTGGAATGTATTCTGTACAGCTTGGCATGTCTCTAGCTCAGTGCGGCTGAAGGCTATTAAATAATCCTTAAGGTGGTCATACACATTTCCATCAAGAGCCTGGAACACAGGAATAAAAAAATTAAAGTAAAATGGCTGACACACAATCCCTAACTGCCTACAAGAAATGTAGTAGTTCAGTTTAAAATCCAAGATTTACAATAAACAGTTGAAAGACAGATTGTTATAGAAAAGTAAATATAAACAATAAAATATCATGTGGGAATACTGACTCTCGAAATAAACAGGAAGAGAAAAAGTAAAACGTATACTGTCCCCACAGCACTGAGGAACAAAAGCGCAGCACAGGTACTTATACCACTAGATGGCACCACTAAGCACTTTAAATAGGAGATAGAAAATTCTTAAGATGCTTTCCATATAATTACGCAACATTCTCAAAGCCAACTGCTGATGCTAAGTCCGAACATGATTTTCACGAACTTGTGAAAACAATATCATTGATGCTTTTGCGTTTTTTTGCCTTACTAAAGTACTTGGCTAAGTGATAATAAACGTGTTTCCAGGAAATCAACTGGCACTATTTTGTTTCAATTTAGCAAATGGCAATATAGGCATCATGAGTTACAAAAGACAGCAAACAAACAAAAAAAAGGAGCCAGGTGTTTTACCTGGGACCGGGAATGAAACCTGAACCTGGGATCTGTGGCTTATGCTCTACATCTCCAGGCCCGAGCCATGTGTTTTAAAGGTGAAGCCCAGGTATCAAGGTATCAAGCCTGAGCTTGCTACAATAAAAACTGAATAGTCACCATGCCTGGGCACTGTGCAAGCTGGATGGAGGTCTGAAGAGGGAGGAAACTCAACTAATTTCTGTTGAGTCTAAACCAACTCATAGCTGATCTTCCAGTGGTTTTTGAGAGCAGTAAACAGCACACAAGGAAATTGCCCACCTTTCTCTGTAGGAGCAGCTAGTAGATTTGAATTGCCTAGTTTTGGGCTGACAGTGCAACTTCTTATCCACCAAGAAAGAGGATAAAGATTAAAAAAGAAAGAAAAATGTTTTTACCCATTTTAATGCTAGACAATATTTTTCATTAAAGGAACTGAATATTGGTTTTGAACAAAGTCACGACAAATTCAGAATCATCATTTAACAAAGTCTTTAAATCTCATTTAAGATACTCCTCCCATACAATTACACTGCCTCTGAACACCTGCTAGAGTGTCAGCCATGAGTCGGTTCCAACTTGACAGTACACAACTAAAACCACCAAACACTATAAAGACGTTCAAGAAGTAATTTCTTGCGACCATGTATTTCATTTTAGCTTTACTAACATTTAGGACCCTTCAGTGCTGCTGTTGTTGAGTTGATTTGAACTCTTGGTGATTCCAAGCGTGTGCAGAATACAGCTGCTCCAGAGTGTTCTAAGGCTGAAAACTTTTGGAAGAAGACTGCCACTAAATATAAAAATTTTACTTGACTACTGTTTCCCACAATGTCTCTAGATGGGTGCAAATGGCTAGGCTTTCCATTAGCAGCTGAATACTGAACTATTGCATGACTAGGACTCTTTCAATAAGACATGCTTACCTCCTCAACGTGGCTGCTAATGCCTTACCAAATGAGAATGGATTAGAATTACTGAGCTTTTGTTGCCAGTTTTGAATTTAGACATCTTTCTTTACTAACACCCAAGGAATGTCAAATTACAGATGTCTAATATCTAACACTGAAGTTAAAAAAGGAAACGCACAATAACTTGGCAAACAAACAGCACCTAACTGCTTGTGCGAAAAGATTTATTTCCAGTAAATATTTGTGACTTGGTAAAGAATGAAACAACTTAAATGTCCAACAGGTGATTGAAAAATAAAATGTGCTGTTTTGTGTATACACATACACACACTAGAATATTATCCAGGTATAAAAAGAGAATGAAGAGCTAATAAATACTATGACATGGATTCACTTTTATAAGGGTCAGACACAAATGGACAAATACAGTGTAATCCTATTCATGAGAAATATCCATTTATAATGATGTTTAATAGAGGTAACTAACATTTATTAACCATTTGCCAAGTTCCAAGGGCTTTACAAAACTGATTCAACTAGTTAGTGCTTCTACTTTGGGCATGTTTTAAGCAAGGGGTACTCCTTGGAAACCAGGGACATCATGCTTAGAAAGGTATAGGGTCAGCAAAGGAGAAGACCCCCAATAAGATGGATTGACACAGTAGCTGCAGCAATGGGTCCAAGTGTGTCAGAGATGATGAGGATGGCACAGGATAGGGCACGGTTCAGATCTGTTGTTCACAGGGTCACTAGGAGTCATACTTGTCTTGATGGCATTTAACAACAAGAGGTGCTTCCACAACCTTCTGTATGTCATGAGTATTATTACAGTGCCTGGCTGATAGCATGTATTTTTAAAAAAATTTATAAATGAATGAATGAATGAATGCTTTAATCTGGATCTTAGGACAACAACAGATAAACAATGAATTAGTTGACAGGCAAGCTATACTGGTTCAGGAAAAATGCACGATTACTCATCACACCAAACACATTAAAGGGTTTGAAGAACCCAAGTACAGCTTAATGAAATGACATTAGGTAGAAAATGGGCCAAGTGGTTGGAAATCTCTTTCAGCAGACAGATTAATTGCAAAATCACTTTTACACCCTATTCAACATTCAGAAATCTCTGAATTTTAATTAATACCCTTGAGGGTTGCTCAATGTGTCATGCACCAATTTTTCCTGGTAAATAAGATTGAGAGCTGGAAACATCCTGGCCTAGGTCAATTATTGCTAGTGTACGTAGTTAACAAAGGAGGGATAAAAATGAAGAAACAGTTGGAATCCAAAGCTCAGGAAATGAATGATGGTCTGATGACTGACTGAAGCCCCTTGACTCCCCTTAACGGCAACTGTCTGAACACTTCATGGCGTCCAGAGATTGAAGTTCAAAGCGTTGTTGCATAGTACTGTCTCATCACGGTTTATGATTAGAAAACACACTGCATATTTATACAGATTTTTATTCAAAAGCCAATGATTATTAGAAAAGTAGTCCTGAAAAATGCTGGATGAATTATTAGGTACCAAAGATAGGCTTCAAAATGCTTTTGTAGCCTCTTCCGCCATTCTTGTTCACACTGTATTTAATTTATTTATCCAGAAGTCTGATTTCCTCAACAAATCAAGCCTTGAAAGCAGGCACCACTTGCTCATTCCCTTTGTTCCTAACACTTCGCTGAGAGGATCAGCAATATATGACCACTGAATAGAAATGAACTGAGAAAGGTTAAACAGCAGTTCGTAGAAATCAAAACAAGAAGGCACGAAGACAATAATCAACAGTGAATTAGAGGATCAAGCACTTTATCTCAACTGGGTCAGACTATCTTAGTTTTGACCAGACAAGAAATCCCTTCTCTGACTTTCCAATCAATAGATCAAACTATCTTTTAGATGGAGTCATTCTCTCTTTTACCTGCTTTTCTCATTTGCTACCCTATTTGCTCATTTGCCCAGTTAAAAAACTCGAAAGTCAAGGTTTCACCTCTTACTTTCATATCCAGTTAATTATTAAATCCTATTGAGTTTACTTTTTAAATATTTATCAAAACCAACCCCTCTTCCCAAACTCCACAGCCACTGCTTATGCCATCTGGATCACTGCAATGAGCTATTTGGTGCCAGTTGTCCCTCTCACAAAGGCTTCCACACCATAGCTATGGAGATACTTTAAATTTTTTTCCATTCTAAATTTTATTTATTTATGTTGTTGAGAATATTCACAGCAAAACAGGCAGCGATTAAACTGTTTCTGCACCTATAATTTAGTGACACTGATTATATATTCAAGTTGTATGCTTCTCACTCTTTTCTGAATTGCTTCTCTTTCATTAATATAAGCTTGCTGCTCCCTGATCTTTCTAGTTGCTGTTGTTGCTTTGATCTGATACAGATGGTTCTTAAAAGAATATAATGCTCAAAGAGACTTTTTTTTTTACTAGTGAAGCTAAACTATTATTGGGTTTTAGGAATATTCAGGGGATATTTTTGGTTTGATGTTTCAAGATAATACCAAGGCACTCAATCACCCTAAATTTCTTATTTTACTTGATTGCTTACCACAAGTTATCCATTACATTTATGATGATCTTAAAAAAAAATCAGAGTGCATGATCTGGAAGAAGCTGGTTTCTCTCTCCAGCTTCTTCACTTACTGTTCTCACTGTAGTTGTCTTACTATGTACCTACTTTGGTTCCTCCGATACTCCTTTTTGCTGAATTCTTTTCCTCTGACTTGAATAACTTCTATTCTCTCCCTCCTGCCTATCTAGTTCTTATCCATACCTGTAAGAGCATCATTTAATCATTATTACACCAGACCTCCCTCTTGTCTTTTTGCTTCATGATATCTGATCATAGTGTATAACTTTGCACTGGTGAGGTATGCTGCTCATTTTGGTATGGAGAGGAGGACACATGCCTGTCTGTTTTATTTCGACTATCTCTTTTTTGTGCTGAGGACAAAGTCTGATATATTGTTGATGTTAGATTAATATTTGTCCAACAAATACAAGGTGGATAAAATCCAAATGTCCATCAACTAATAAATGGATTAACAAAATTTGTGTGCACACTATTAAATATTATTCTGCCATAGATGGTGATAATCTCCACAACAAGGAACCATGACAATATTATGCTAAGTGAAATATGTCATTAAAGACAAATATTATATAATTTCATTAATATGAAACACTTAAGTCAGGCAAATGTATTGAGATCAGTTTAACAAAAGCAATCAGGGGCAGGTGGGAAGGGGAAAGAAGAGAATCTTTGCCTAGCGTTAAGTTTTTGTTTGTGATGACAGAACAGACAGCAATTAATGTTGGTGATGGTTGTACAATATAATTGAAACAGGTATACAGAAAAATAGAATAGAACTAAAATCCCAGAAATAAATCCACTGATGTATGGATAAATTATCTTTGATAAAGAGATGAAATTGACTAAGTAGGTCGAGGGGGAAGATAACCTCTTTAAGAAATGGTGCTCACAAAACTGATTATCT